CCTAATATTTCTTTTTATAATTAGGAAATTAAACGTCTCCAGCTAAAAATACCCTTAGCCTCTCCATCTCCTCCTGAGTGCAGCAGCTCGGGCGGAGGGGGAACTGGCAGCCGCTTGTGATGATTCACGGGTGTGACGCTGGTGGGGGTGATTAATCTCAGCAAGAGGAGGGATCCCGGTCCCAGATTACACAGCAGATCCGTCGTGGCCGCTTTATGGGATTTATGTCATTGTGTTTCCACATGACTGGAGTGGATGGTCCTGTGCGTCGGTACTTCGGGGGGGGATAGACGCAGCAATTGATCTTCCTTCGGTTATGAAAATGGGACTGTTTTTTTTAAATTTCCGGGAGCTGTGTGACAATCGGCTATTTTTATCAGTGTGACCAAACTGATCAGATATGCGATTTGGGAAGGCAGAACAGGCAACTGCATGGGGCTCAAAGGAGCCCGGGGTCGGTATAATGAAAAATGAATGTGCCCCTCCACCTTTGTTCAGGAGATTCAGGGCAGGTCGCCGAGCTTTTTTCTTTCTATATTGATGGATCTTCCCTTGAAGGGAAGGTAGAAGGTGGCCCCTCGCCATGAATAAAACTCTGTGTCTTGTTGAGTTATCTCTTGTTGGAGATAAATGTATATTTCACTTCCTGTTGGTGGAATTGTCTGGTTTTGGGTAAATCCCGGCTACACCTGGGGCAATAGTTTTGATGGAGCAGGAGCCTTTAAAAGGGAATTATATATATGGAAACACAGGAGCTGCCGTTGAAGACCTTCCCTCCTGCGAGTGCTAGATGACAGTTATGCTGATCCAATGACTTCGGTACTTTTCAAGGCTCCGGCCTCCTTTTGTCCCTGTACAGCTAAGCTCAGCCTTCGTCTGTCAGTCTGCACAGAGGCCTGGCCTCCCTCTGTCCCTGTACACCTAAGCTCAGCCTTCGTCTGTCAGTCTGCACCTAGGCCTGGCCTCCCTCTGTCCCTGTACACCTAAGCTCAGCCTTCGTCTGTCAGTCTGCACCTAGGCCTGGCCTCCCTCTGTCCCTGTACACCTAAGCTCAGCCTTCGGCTGTCAGTCTGCACCTAGGCCTGGCCTCCCTCTGTCCCTGTACACCTAAGCTCAGCCTTCGTCTGTCAGTCTGCACCTAGGCCTGGCCTCCTTCTGTCCCTGTACACCTAAGCTCAGCCTTCGTCTGTCAGTCTGCACCTAGGCCTGGCCTCCCTCTGTCCCTGTACACCTAAGCTCAGCCTTCGTCTGTCAGTCTGCACCTAGGCCTGGCCTCCCTCTGTCCCTGTACACCTAAGCTCAGCCTTCGTCTGTCAGTCTGCACCTAGGCCTGGCCTCCCTCTGTCCCTGTACACCTAAGCTCAGCCTTCGTCTGTCAGTCTGCACCGAGGCCTGGCCTCCCTCTTTCTCTGTGCACGAAAGCTTGGCCTCCCCATGTTCGTATGTGCCCAGGTCCCCTCCGTCAATATAGGGCAGTCCAGGTCTCTGTCCTCCATTTTTTTGCAGAACCCTGCAGGGGTATCCATAGTGTCGGAGTGCTGCCTTGGCAGAGACGGTGAGCAATTCAGCATCCGAGAAATAAGACAACATAGCATAATGCAGCAGTTGGGTAGCCGGCGTCTCTGCCAGGACCGGTCTGAGCGCATTGCATGGCTCTCTGTGTCTGTGCCAACACTGAATACAGTGACTTCATCTCCAGCCATCCTGCAGAGAGAGATTCAGCCTTCGTCTGTCAGTCTGCACCTAGGCCTGGCCTCCCTCTGTCCCTGTACACCTAAGCTCAGCCTTCGTCTGTCAGTCTGCACCGAGGCCTGGCCTCCCTCTTTCTCTGTGCACGAAAGCTTGGCCTCCCCATGTTCGTATGTGCCCAGGTCCCCTCCGTCAATATAGGGCAGTCCAGGTCTCTGTCCTCCATTTTTTTGCAGAACCCTGCAGGGGTATCCATAGTGTCGGAGTGCTGCCTTGGCAGAGACGGTGAGCAATTCAGCATCCGAGAAATAAGACAACATAGCATAATGCAGCAGTTGGGTAGCCGGCGTCTCTGCCAGGACCGGTCTGAGCGCATTGCATGGCTCTCTGTGTCTGTGCCAACACTGAATACAGTGACTTCATCTCCAGCCATCCTGCAGAGAGAGAGACGCCACAATCTCCTCATGTC